GAGGAGGGAGTGTGTGAGTGGCTGCGTGGTTCTTGGCTGCTGGCTGAGGTTAAACCACGACATAGGTGAGGCAATTTCTCTTTTCATTCAGTCAAGCATTACAGAAAACCAAAAAGAGTGTTTCCTAAATTGAAATTCTGCCAGCCTCTGTGAAGGACAGTTAAAAGAAAGCAGCAGATACTTGTGCCCAGCATAGCTTTTGCTTGGTTTTTTGAATGCAGAAAGAGATACTGGCATATAGTTTGAGTCATGATGCCTGAAAGTCACAAATATTCTAAAACGACCAATGCCGTAAAGTTTGAAACAAAAGAACTGTAGCTTGTATGTGAGAGTTTTCACGGAAATGTGTGGTCATAAAACTTCTAGATGAACGCTATTATGTGCATGCTGCAGAATCATTAGAAAAAAAAAACACATCCCAGCATATGACTTCAGAGGTCAAGTCAGTCTCAGAGAGAACGACAGAGAGCAAAAGTATTGCTAAATCACTGTAAACAGATTTCTCAAAGGACCCCTTTTTTCCAGCAGAGCACTGCAAGGTCGGGCACCAAAGTATCTTCTTATCAATATCAAATCATGTTAGACCTTATAATATTTCAATTGTAAGTTTAAATTAAATAAACATAACTGTAGCACTGCTCCTGGTCGTGAGTAAGTACTACTAATAGTTCTGCAGGAAAGGGATCCTAATGTTGCAAGGCATACCATAAAAGTAGCTATGGTTCTGTCTCTGTGCTGCCTCCAGATTCCTCCGTTTGGGGTTGTTATCTTGTATGTTACGAACTGCTCCTTTTACAGGCACTAGGGCTTTGCATGAATACCAAAGGACAGACCTGCTGGGGCTTGACTCCAACTCCCTTTCCATTCCCAGCTCTCTTACGGCTGCAAGCATCCCCCGAGACCCAGCGGCCGCTACGAGCCCACTTGGGGGCGATGTTAGCTCTGCTTTCCCAGCAGCTTTCCAACCTATTCCTTTCACATTCCGAGGGGCAAGACTGGTTTTAAATAAATGCTAAAGATTTTAGACGCTCCACTAAAGCATGGAACCCCAAAGTATACCAAAAGAAAAAAAAGACAGCAATTGTTTCTAGGTCACTGAAATTCAAAGCCTAATTTACAACTAATGTACTTCAGGTTTGCCTTTAAGAATAAGCTATAAAAATCAGTAATGAAAGAATAATAGGAAAATCTTCTGTGGGATGCCCCTTTCTGACTGTATTGTGTTTCTGTTTTAATGGGCTGCTGCAGAGGGCAAGTTATGATGGAGAAAAGATCTGTAATAGCAGAGAGGAGCCTGTATGTGAAGTTATGTTGGGAATTTAAACTAAGGTGTAAATTGCAGATTAAATATATTACTGTGACCCTGTGTCACAGACTGATACCCTTAATAAATTATGATAGAAAAGAAATGGAAATAGAGAGTGAGATGTGTAATGCCATCAATGACAGACTTCTACTGATGACCTACTTGAATGAAAATCTGAAAATCCATTTTCCATGGTATTGGCATCTATAGAAAGCCATTTCACAGTGAGGGATTTTATAAGAACATAGGAATAAGCCACACCACATAGTCTGGTTAGAAATTCCTTCACAGATGCCTTGATTCATGAGAATCAATATTGATTATCATGTCTACACTATTAAGTGGATTCCACTGCAGACCTTACATACCTGCTCAGACAGAGAGCTGCTATATTTTTTAGACATCCTTTTCTTCATGGTTTCTTTTACAGACTTCACCTTTTTGCCCAGAGATATACGGGAGGCAGAGGGTGATTTGATCACTTCTTTATAAACAAAGTCTCCTTCTTTGCCCTTCAAAATAAAATGGAGTTTAAGTTTATAAAACAGAAGAGCCATTTTTTTCTTCAGTCAGCAGTTATTGCAGAGATATCCAAGCAGACACAGGATGGCAGCATGGTGTCCTATTGACTCCTCTAAATTCACTGTTGAGACCTTTGTGCAAACCATTGTAACTTACTCTTAAGGACTGATTTGTAACCCTTTTGTGAAAGTACTGTGTGTAGATGTGTCAGGGTCTGTTAGGATGCCTTTATCCCTTTGAGCTTCAGGTAAGTATTTGACCTGATACAAAACCCTGTGGTTTCAGGCTAAGCCCTCCTGACAGGACACACAATGGTAGCTGTGGCTCATTTTGGCCATTACTACAAACAGCTTAACAGGAGTAAAGGTACCTCTGAGATCCTAACCAAATATATATCTGTGCGTGTACAT